TGTTCAACAAAATTTCCTGATGGCATACACCATGGAAAAGGAATCGAGGATATCCATTTTACCAGCAAAATTGTATCTGATGGGAATCAGCTAAACCACTTGTGGGAAACAACCAATTGAAGGAGGAAAACCCCCTGCCCATTGGCCCATCCTCCGTGCAAAAATTTCCCTTGGGGAAATTCAGAGGAGGCCTTTGTAACACTTAACATGAAGTAGGATTCTGTTAGGGACATTTTTATCTGAATGTAATACCTGCATTTGGCTTTAGGATTTAGCAAGCAGTGAGAAGCAAACAATAAGTAAAGATTGCCTTCGCACATTATACTCGCACGTCCTTGTAATGGAGTCCTACTTTCCAATCCAGCTTCACTGGACCCTCTCACTTAAGCCACCTCCTCCATCTCCTTCTACTCAAAGTTAGTTACAAAATGAAAACATAGCCATGGTTAGATATGCAGATTTGTCTCTCAATCCAGAGCTCATCTGCAGGATTTCCCACACATCTTCTCAGTTCCCAGCGGGAATATTTATTCCAGATTGGCTGCAGGATCTATTTTTCAGAGATCTGTTATTGGAAATGCAGGTAAAACAATGGGCCAAATGCTTGGGTCATTCTTTTTCTGATTATATCCTGGCCATTTGGGCATGTTCTTGAAGAAGAAGAAAGAAGGATGAAAGGCATACGTTTTCAAGTGGGAAAAGAATAGGAAAAAAGGGGATGGCAGAAAATAAATAAAAGCTGCTTACTGGAAGTCCATTCTGTCCCTAAAAGAAAAACATAAAAAGAACCATTTTACTTTGACATGATAACATCCATGACTTCTCCAATCAGGCCTTCCGCACCCCCTTTGGTATCTTTTTTCATTCATTAATTCATGGTTCAGATAAAAATATATGTTATTTCACACAACATGCAGTGAGAGAAGCCAAAAAGATGCACATGGATTAAACCAGGGGTCTTCCAACTTTTCAAAAAGGGGGGGGGGGTCATGGTCCCTCAGGCTGTTGGAGGGACTGGACCAGCTGGGTTGGCGTGGCTAGTTGGTCATGTGACTGCGTGGGCGTGGCCAACGTAGCAGTCCAAACAACACCCATAAATGAAAGTTTAATTTGTTGTGCTCCTAGGGGTGGAAAGCAGGTTAGTGACGGGAGGTGGCTGCCTTGGGGTGTGTATGAATGAATGAATGAGTGAATGAATGAATTAGTTAATATTTTATAGTAGTACAAGATTTATTGGGAAGAAACTTATGCTTAAATCACATATTCAAATGCCATTTTTTTCCATTTTCCAATTCAGCTTCACCAGAGCCTCTCTCTTACCCCACTTCCACCTTCTCCATCTCTTTCTATTGGAAGTAACACAAAAGAAGGAGGAGGCTGGAATGATTACATATGCAGATTTGTCTCTGAATCGCGATCTCCTCTACATGATTTTTAATGCAGCTGTTCAGTCCCAAGCGGGAATATTCACTTCAAATTGGCAAATCTAGATCTATTTTTAGAAGGTCAATTATTAGAAATGAAGGTAAAAATGGGCCAGATGCTTTGGCCCTCATTCTTCTTGTTATTCTCTGGCGATTTCTTCTTTCTGAATAAAGTGGTTGAATTATGTTGGATATGGTCTTTGGGAAGAAATGAGGACTCAACAGTGGGTAAAGACTTCTTTTGCATCATATCCCTGGGACAATCTCATCATGAAATAATGCTTTCCACTTCACTTCCTCTATACCATTGGTGTCAAACTTGATTTCACTGAGGGCCGCATCAGAATTGTGTTTGACCTCGGGGGGGGGGGGCAGAGTGGGTGTGGCCTGAATGGGCGTGGTCATGGTAACCATAGCCAGCTCAATATCCTGCTAGTGGAAATGGCGCTTGGGAGGGCCAGCAGAGACACTGTGAGCCAGTCCGTCACTGTTTTCAGGGCAGCCATGCAGGCCAGATTTAAGTACCCCATGAGTAGGATACGGGCTGTGGGCCTTGAGTTTNTTTCAGGTGGAAATGAAGTGAGAGAAAGGGAAAGAATTACTAAATGAAATGAAAAGATATTTGCTGGGGTGATTATAGGAGGAGAGCTGTGTTGCGGTCACCAAGATACACAAACAACTTGCCAGAACTGTAAGTCAGGTTTGGTCTCCAAGAAAGATTTCCTGGGCTGCGCAGGTGATAGAGGAGAAATGATGTATATTGAAAGACATAAATGAGAAATGATCTATATTGTGTGATGATGTCATGACATGCATGGGATTATAATCCCCATTATTCCTCTCTCCATGGACAGTCATGCACCCACTTTGGTGGACAGTCCCAAAAGCTTATGTTGACTCTTAGAATGATACTTTCAAATGGAGGAGAAAAGTGAGGAAAGGGGGAGAAATTATGGTTTGGAACCTTAGAAATAATACCTTTCTGTCAACCCTATAAGCATCACACTTTTTTTTGTAGATAAAGATAAAGGTTCCCCTCGCACATATGTGCTAGTCGTTCCCAGCTCTAGGGGGCAGTGCTCATCTCTGTTTCAAAGCCAAAGAGCCAGTGCTATCTGAAGATGTCTCCATGGTCATTATTCGGCATGAGTCACCAAAGGCACATGGAACACTGTTTCCTTCCCACCAATGGTGGTTCCTATTTTTCTACTTGCATTTTTACATGCTTTCAAACTACTGGTTTGGCAGAAGCTGGGATGAGGAATGGCAGCTCACTCCCTTACGTGGCACTAGGGATTTGAACCGCCGAACTGCCGACCTTTCTGATTGACAAGCTCAGCGTCTTAGGCACTGAGCCATCACGTCCCATCGTTTCTGAAGATAGAACTTACCTATTTTTTATTCGGTTTTAGCTAGAAGGAAAAAAAAAACATGCATGTAAGTTTTTTGTTACTTTTCCTTTCTTGTAAATAATAAGTACATTGTCTCATTGTTTGGATGAAAGTCAGCAAAGAAGGAGAGGTAAAAAGAAGGACAAAAAAAATTGGACATTGGCCCATCCTCTTTACTTTACTTTATTAAGTATTTAACATCTTTTGAAAAATTTCCCTTTCTCTGTTCAACAAAATTTCCTGATGGCGTATACCATGGAAAAGGAATCAAGGATATTCATTTTACCAGCAAAATTGTATCTGATGGGAATCACTAAACCACTCGTGGCCATTCAGGAGAGAAACAACCAATTGAAGGAGGAAAAACCCCTGCCCATTGGCCCATCCTCCGTGCAAAAATTTCCCTTGGGGAAATTCAGAGGAGGCCTTTGTAACACTTAACATGAAGTAGGATTCTGTTAGGGACATTTTTGCTGGTAAAATGGATATCCTCGATTCCTTTTCCATGGTGTATGCCATCAGGAAATTTTGTTGAACAGAGAAAGGGAAATTTTTCAAAAGATGTTAAATACTTAATAAAGTAAAATGTTATTTTTGTTTGTCCACCTCTTTGTGTAATAGAACACATGTAACATACATATTGTGATCCCTAACACAATCCTATTTCATCTTGTGTTAAATG